CAGGCATCAACTCAGACACTCACCCGTTTCCTTGGGGTTCTGAGTTCCACACAGGAAGGTACTTAAGACAAGACACTGGCTTCTCAGTGCCCTTTTGTTCATGAGCACACAGGCTGCAGCAGCTTTGGCAGCCTGGGGTGTCAGCCACAACCTTCTTCATCCCTAATCAGTGAAACCTGCAAGGTTTCATTACAGACATTTAAGTGAACCATATACGATGAGCACTCGTTCTAACCCTTGATGATCTTCCTGCAATCCTAACTAAGGTACCGTCTACAGATTCTTTAATATTGGTGGTTCACACAGGGCCACATGAGACTTACTCATTTCAGCAGAAACACCCAGATACACTGTGAACAGAAAAGACTATCCTCCCTGAACATGGACGAAGCATTTGTTAGGGATGCTCAGACCTCTCAGCCTGCTTAGCTTGTATAAAAATTCTTGATCCAAAAACTATAATCTTTGAATGGTAAAGACTCTTCTTGTTCTCTTCCAGGGCTTAAGGAAAACAGGCACCTGCCACTGCAAATGTCACCATTTTCCCATGTACACTAATGATGAATAAGCACCCTACAAGTTGTTCTATAAAATTCATTACCTGCAGACCCAACACCAAATATTGGGAACAAACAGCAGAGGAGGTTCACTCGAAATCCACCAAAACAAAGTGGCCACTGAGGATTTCCTAGCAATAGCACATACATTATCCTGGACTCAGAGAGAAAATAATGCCACCGTCACCCACACAGACTCAGCTCTCCAACTATTCCAGATGATTCTGAATATTAGCTATTATAATATTCTAAATTATTTAATGTAAAATTAAATGATCACTACATCTTCCATTCTATCAAAGATGCCAATTTTTCAATTGGCCTCAAATAGTAAAGTCTGCATCTAAAGAATATGACCAATTCCACAGGTCTCAGAGATAACATTTACAAGCCCCTGAGACAATACCCACCATCAGATCCATAATGAAAATATTTTTTGTGCACCTTCAAAACTAACTTTTGAACATCTATATTAGTATTCTGTAACATTAAATGAGCTCAACAAATAATTATGCTTTTTCAACATCAAAACAAACTTTGAGGGCCTCCCTAGTATACCAGGGCTTAAGTCTCACCACTATCACCACAATGACCCACAATATGGCCTAAGTTTGATCCCCAGGCAGGGAGCTGACCCACAGAGGGCACAGCAGACCTCTCCTATATTAGCCGCTGCTCCCCTGAGCACTGTATTTCAGTAGATCCGTCTGTTCTGCTCCCCACTCTGTCACTGGTAAATCCTCTCATCACCCGACACTGCTGGCCTGCACCCCAGGTCTTCTACACAAAAACAAATCTTTAAACAAAAAGAAAAACAAACTTTGAATTAGAAATTCGTAGAGTTCTTGTATGCATAAATAAATAAAAATGCATAAATAAAAATACGAATGTTGTAAGAATTATATAAAATAAAATATTAAAAAAATAAATCTAGGGCTACCCTGGTGGCACAGGGGGTTAAGCACCGCACTATGTGGGGGTCTGCAGCCTCCACAGCGCGAGTTTGATCCCTGGCCGGCCAGCAGGTGGCCCACCTGGCGAGGCAGACCTCTCTTGTCTCACCCGCTGCTACCTTCAGCTGTGTATTTCAATTGGTCTGCCTGTTCTGTTCCCTGCTCTGTCTCTTGTGAGTCCTCCCACCCCCAGCTTCTCTGGCCTGTGCCCTAGATCTTTTGTGCATAAATAAATGTTTAAAAAAATAAATAACAAAACACCAATGATTCAAAGCAATAAAGCACAGCAATGGTACCATGATCCCAAATGTCAACAGTAATGTCCAGTTTGGGGAGCAAAAGGATCAGAGTGTGGTGGCAGGGAGTACTGGCTACCTCACTGCCAACGTCTACATGGATTTACAGCCTGGGGAAGAACTTAGGCAGAAGCCAAGTCATATGTGCTTCCTCTGTAGCTGTTCAATAGCATAATAAAAACTAAACTCCCTATTTTCTACTTACAACTGAGATTCAACCAATGATAGCTATACGTTTTTGACATTTTTAAAAGACCATAATAAATTCTAAAGAGGCTATGTGTACAGCCCAGTCCCTGGCAGACTGCAGGCATTCAGCTAACCCTTGTTCACTATCTTGAGTGTTCAGAGTACTTTCTATCATGGAAAAGAATATACACCCTCCCGTGCTGACAAAACTGCTGAAAAAAAGTTACATATAAACATCATCATTAAATTGAAGTCCACTTATCCAGATGTGTATACTTTATTAAAACCCAAAGGATGGTTCTCAGAAGTGTCAATAAAGGCACACCCCATCCTGTTTGCTTTGCTTTATCAGATGCTGCTTTTCACAAATTGAAGGTGTGTGGCAACCTGGACTGGGCTAAGTCCAGCAGCGCCATTTCCCAAAAAAACATATGCTCACCTCATGTCTTGGTGATATCTAATTAGGCTATTTTCTCTTTAGGCAAAATACTACTGCATACTTAATAGACGACACTATAGAGCAAACAATTTTCATTCACACCAGGAAACCAACAAAAAAGTAATGACTTTATTTATGCAATATTAGGGTTGTTGTGGTATTCTGGAAATGAACCAACAATATCTTCAAGGTGTGCCTGCACCACCTTTTATTTGGTGCAATGTAAGTACACCTATTAAAGCAAAGAAATTTATTTTGCTAAGGCTGCTGTTTGGAGCTGGCTTTACCCCCACTATGGCAAACCTAATGAAGATAGGAGGTGATCACAGCTGGCGCTGGGATAGAGAAACGCTTGTCACAATATGTTTAAGAACATGAATCACGATGAAATAGGCCTATTTTTATCTCCAGAGAATTGTTCTGTATTTTGTTTACATCCAAAGAACAATTTAAAAGTGAAGGTAAGTACAGGACAGTGCACAGACACCAACAGGCAGAGAGAGCTGCAAACGCAAAAGGTCTGTGAAAAGAAACACCTGCACAGTCACAGGCAGTGGGGAGCGCTGCCTTGCTCTCCAGGGCATTTTGTTAAAGTAGGACATACATCTTCACACTCAACTTCACATTCGGTTCATTGGAATGACAACATAATCGAGATCATTTCAGAGAATGCATGTGTGCTCTTCAATACTGAAAATTACTAAGAGCAATGTGCAAGAATCTAAACTTTAGAACTATGTAAATAACCTTTTTAAAATCTAATCACAAAATGACACAAGTTCACTGGAAAACTTGTCAACAGAGGAAACACGAATAATAAAACAATCACCATGAATACCAACATCCTGAGGACACCAGTCACTGCTTCTACTGTGTTTCCCTCTTGTATAGATGAGATAGATCAAATCATTAACAATCAAAGGGGGTGTCTTATCCTGAATAATACTGCAGGCACTGCTGAGGCATTGCTTTATCAATTGTTCTAGATCTCCAGGAATTCCCTCTGGTAGGTACAGCAGCTAAGCCTGCTGTATGGGAATAATTACAGAAAACACTATTTTGAAATGCAGTCTCCTATGAGTAGCAATCACATTTGGGATTAGAGCTATTTCTAAAACTATTAAGGAAATCATGTGCAACATTAAAGACAGCATCTGCATGTAACACAATGATACATTAAACTTTTATTTTAACCTGAGGCTCTTTCCTTATGAAGGAGGAAGCCCAACACCCACGGAGCTGCTCTGAGGATGGACAGAGTTGCCCACACTCCTCCCCTCCTGCTGGCCTTCAGGGGGTTTATAGTTTAGCCTCATTTGACAATCTCTGATTTGGCCAAAAATACGTAGTCCAAAAATCCCTGAATTTTGTCCTTATTTGCATGATCTTAACACAAGTTCCTTGTCTCCTCTGGACCTTCGGATTGTCAACTACGGAGTAGGAATAATGTCTCTACAGTGCCACCAGTGAGATCACATAACTTAAGTAATGGACTTGTTGCACAGGGTCAGGTAATCTCCAGCAGGTGCTCAATAAACATCGATTTCTTTCCCCTTCCCTGACCTGTTCAACTTCTCTCCAAAGCAAGCATAAAAGGATTTATGATGGAGGAGGTAATATCAGTTTAACAGATTATAAATATTAAAAAGTTGATTATCGACAAAACGTCCACTTCCCAGGTGAATGAGTGTGGCTTATTCACGCTCTAATACAGGAGAGATCCTCTTAGGGCCAGGTATCAGTAGAGAAAAGACCTTAAGAGGTTAGGAATGGGCCCTTCAGTGTCTCAGATGATTTCCCATGAAGGACCATCCATCCCCATTGGTGATAGCATCCAACTGTCCCTGCTGTGGGAATCTCGGGGGTGTCCTTCAGTGACAAAGAGATGGTCACAGGTTTCAATACACTGAAATGGTGACTACAAACCCATTTTTGAAAAGCAGACATTGTAGCCAGAGTGTGGCAGCCGTGTGGCTCTTGGTCACTCAAGGCTCAGGAAAGCCTGGTTCTATTCAAGGGGAGTCTGAAGTCGCCTCATGAGGCAGTTTCTAGGTGTCAAAGTTCCCTCTTCCAGGCCACATCAGCTGCACAACAGGTAAGTGATGCCTCACCCTTCAGACGTGGGCCCAGGCCCAGCACGGGCAGCATCTCAGACCCCGTGAGAAATGCAGAGCCCCAGGCACCACGCAACCTACTGGGTAAGAAACTGCACCCCGGGAGGGAGACAGGGACTCGACTCTGCCCTCCTGCCTGCTGGCCCTGGCGTGGGGAGGGGGTGTCAGCCCCAGAAAAGTTTACAATACATTCTCCAAATTATATCCCAAGTCCACAGAGATAAAACACACAGATCAATGGAACAGAACGGAGAGCCCAGAAAACCCATCCGGGGGTTGATCGGTGCAGCAGGGAGGCGCGGGGAGCAAACACTGGGGATGCGCCTTCATTCAGGGGCGCCGCGCACCCTCAGGGTCACACTCGGGAATGTCCTGACCCCCATGTTCCCCCAGGCCCCAATGACCCGCGCAGAGCTCTCCACAGCCCGCCCGCCCCGGGTCCCCTGACTCACCGCTCGGCCGTCGGCCGCGGGCAGGGAGACGTCCTCGCCCTCCCCTGACCACCTCAGCGTCTCCCCGCACTTCCCCGCCTCCTGTGCTTTGCCCGCGGGCTTCTCCTGCCTCGGCCCGCGGCCCGCTCCGCCGGGGTGGGCGCTCCTGGAGGCCGCGGCTCAGCCACTTCCGCTCCCGCCGCCGCTCCCGCGTCAGCGCGCCGGGACGGGACGTCACGCGCAGGGGGCGGGGCAAGGCCGAGATGGACAGGCTCGCGGCGGGGGCCTAGGGGCGGGGCATTGGCGCGCGCGGCCTCGTGGCGCAGAGGGGCGGGCGGCCGAGGCGGGACACTGGCGGGCGGAGGCGCCAGGGCCGGCGGGAGGCGCCAGGGCCGGCGGGAGGCGCAGGGGGGACCGGGTCGCTGCTGAGGGGCGGGTCGGCCGGGCGAGGAGGGGACGCAGCCCGGAGAGCCGTGGGGGGCCGCTCAGAGCGGGAGCAGGGAGCGGGAGTGTGTGACATCAGAGCCATGAAGATGGGGAGAGAGAATGAAGTGGAGGCAAGAACCCGCTGATACCTTTTACTTTACCCTACAGTCTTCCCGGGGGGACCCACAGAAAAGGGTCAGAAACAACCAGGCAAGCCCGGAAGGAAAAGAACAAAATCAAAATCAAGATAAAAGCTGCCATTGTCACCTCCCTATGGGTCTCACCCACATCTGTGTCACCCCGTCCACGACAAAAAGACAAGCACAGTTTCTTCACGTGTCTCTAGGCCCCATGTGCCTCCTCCAGGTCTCCTGGCTCCATCCTGCTTCCCTCCTCAGTCTCCTCTGCAGCTTCTTCTCTCCTGCTCAGCTCTACCCTCCCTTGGGTGGGCCAGGAAACCTGGAACCTCCACCTTTCCTGGGGATCACCCTGTTACACAACATCAGAAGTATCATAAATGAAGAGGGTGCTATGGCTCAAAGAAAAGGAAGAAAGAAAAAAAAAAACCCTGGGAATAGCAAGAGGTATTCAAGGAACCAAACAATGCCAACAATATTTAACTCCCATTTTTTAAAAAGGGGATTTTATTTTTGGCTAAAAAGGTACCCTTTAAATGAATTTTGTCCACTGTCAATGAAAGGAAGTCACTGACACAGAGCAGAGGGCTATTGCCATGTCTATCTGTGACCTTTATTGTTTGTGACATGGTGACTTTCAAGGTAGCAAAAATGGCAACAGATGTTCTAGTCTCAACCCATTTGAGCAATGTTGAAATGGAATTGCACACAGGCCCCACAAAATGGACATCCTCACCATTTCCACCCCAGAAAATAACACCTTTTTAGACATTACAGAAAATAACACATACATTTTTTAAAAAATATTTATTTATTTATATAAGCACTGGGTACAGTCAGAAGCGCGGGAGGGTGAGAGAATTCACCAGAGCCAGAGCGGGGAGCAGAGCAGGCAGAAGGACCAAAATACACTGCTGAGGGGAGCAGCGGGTGGCAGGAGAGGTCTGCGTGCCATGTGGGACCCTCCTCCAGTGGCCGGGGAGCAGCCGGGGATCGAATCAGTGCTGCAGAGGCTGCGGGCAGCTTCGCAGTCTGTTTTATGAATGTTCCATAACTGGAAAAAAGTAACAAACCTAGATGGGACTTCCTATTTGTAAGCAATTTACAGATTCAGTGCAATTTCAATGAAAATTTCAATGGTGTTCTTCAACAAAATGGAACCAATACTGTTCAAATTCATATGGAATCACAAAACCTCGAGCAGTGAAAGTTCTGACTAAAAGGGAGGAATAATGGAGGTCTGACACTCCCAGACATCCAACAATATGACAAAGCTGTTATAATAAAAACTGTGTTGGGACAAAAACAGACACAGAGACCAATGGAATCAAAGTTAAGCCCAGAAATAAAAGCACACATATATGGTGAGCTAACCTATGACATAGGAGCAAAGAATATACATTGGGAAAAAATCACCACTTCCATAAATGGTGCTGGGGAAACTGGATTGCAACATTCAAAAGAATGAACTAGACCACTATCTCACACAATACACAAACCAACTCAAGTGGATGAAAGACTTGCATGTGAAGCCTGGCACCATCGAATATACAGAAGGAAACACAGGACAACACTCAATGACATGATCCTCAGAAACATCTTTGAGGATTCTTCTCCAGAAGCAAGGAAAACCAGGGAGAATGTAAACAGTTGGGGCTACAGCAAGAGACAATGATCAAAACAAAGAGACACCCCGCTGAATGGGAGAAAATATCAGCACACCACATGACAGCTAAGAGACTGATATCAAAGATCTACCAAGAGCTTACATGACTCAACAAAAACAAAAAACCCAGTCCAAAAAAAGGGCAGAAGTAAAAAGACACTTCTCCAAAGAAGAAATGCAAATGGCCAACAGGCATAGAAAAAATGTTCAGCATCACTAATATCATGGAAATGCAAATCAAAACCACAATGAGGGGCCACCTCACCCCAGTGAGAATGCTCCTCATTAAAAAAAAAAAAAAAAAAAACTGGCAATAACAAATGCTGGAGAAGCGGTGGAGACAAATGAGCCTCCGACGCTGCTGGTGGGAGCGCAAACTGGTCCAGCCACTATGGGCAGCTGTGTTACCGAACGCTGGCCTCAGTTTCCCTCAGCCAATAAAAGGAAACTGAGTTTGAGGAAAAGGAAAGCGGTTTTATTTGTCTACAAATGAGGAGGGTGGCAGACTCATGTCCGAAAAACCACCGTCCTGCTCTTTGGCAGTGGGCAGGGGTATTTATACTAGGGGGAGATGGGTGGGGTTCCACGAAGGGGAGGAGGAAGGGTCCGCACAGAGATAAGTGGACACCAGCTCAACAGGGAGATGGATGGGTGCCAGCTGGTTTTCATCAAGGGGAGGGGGAAAGTGTCAAAACAGAGAGGGGTAAGGGGACGGGGTCTTCACAGAGGCCAGTGGGTGTCAACTCATTCATCTTAAGGGAAGGGGAAGGTGTCAGCACAGAGACAGGTGGTCGCCAGCTTGTTTTCCTTAGGGGGAGGGGGAAGGGTCTGCACAAAACCAGTGGGCGCCAGCTTGGTTTTCTTCTCAAGGGGAGGGGGAGGCTGCAACAAATGGGAAAGAGGAGCTATTAATCCTGTTAATGCTAGATAAGGGAGAATTGCAAGAAATGGGGAAAAGACAAACTTGTTAACTGTATCAGCTGTGTGGAGGTTCCTCAGAACACTGAAAATGGGTCTACACATGATCCAGAGTTCCACTCCTAGGAATCTACCCAAGGGACAAAAACAAAACAAAACAAAACAGGAAACCTGAACTCCTGTGCTTATTGCAGCACTATTTACAGTAGCCATGACATGGAAACAACTCAAATGCCACAAAAGAGATGAATGGATCAAAAAGTTGTGGTACAGTTACACCGCGGAGTATTGCTCATAATCAAAAAAGACAAATTCACGCTGTTTGTGGTGATACGGATGGAGCTGGAAGGGACGATGCTAGCCACAGTAAGGCAGGAGAAAGAGAAATATCAGGTGGTTTCTTACGTGGGAAATATAAACTGAACAAAAGGTAGAGAAAAAGACAACCCCAGCAGGCTGACCAAGAGCTGAGGCCCCCAGCGCGGAGGGGGGAGGGGGCGAACAGAGGGGAGGGAAGAGAACAAGGGATTATGGTGATGGGTCGCGGGTGCTATTCTGGGGGGAGCACTATGGGGACCACCCCTGAAGGGAGAATCCAATACCTACAAAAAATGAACAACGATGCAAGAAAAGAAAAAAAAGAGATGAGCTTGCGGAAAGGGAAGACCCTAAGACAATATAAAGAAATAAATGGTCCTAAAGGCGGGTCTCACCTGAACAATGCTGCAGGCACTGCCGAGGCATCCTCTCCTCACCAATTGTTCCAGATCTCCAGGAATTTTCTCTGGTAAGTGCAGCAATTAAGCCTGCTGCCTGGGAATCATTAGAAAAAGGCTAATTTAAAAAAGATTTATTTATTTATACAAGAACCGGGGTGCAGGCCAGATGCGCCTACCCGAGCCCTAGCGCCTTCCCTCCCTGGGCCTCACCTGTCTGCTCCCCGCCGCCCGCTCCCCAGGTCAAGGGGCAGTGGTGCCCCTACGGGGTTCCTGAAGGACCAGGCTCGCCCCAGCCGAACCTCACCCTGAGTCTGGGGCCAGCAGGGCCTGAAGGAGCGTGCACGTGCGGTAGCGCGCAGGTGCAGCCAGGTGCACTGGGCGGGACTGGGCGTGCAGGGGCTCCAGGAGGCAAAGGCCCTCCGTCGCAGGCACTGGCGGGACCGCTCCCAAATAAACACTGAGATGCAGACAAATGCCTCCTCCTCGCCCAAAATACTGTGACCCTACATTATCCGCTAGTCATTAAAAGGGCAAACAAAGTGGCTTGAATTTCTGGGAAAGATTATTTTTTTAAACCATTCTTAAAAATCCCCTTACCTGAAGCTGACATAAAAGCATGACGAGGGGCCACCCTGGTGGGGAAGGGGTTAAGCACCACACTGTGAAGCCATCCACAGCTTCTGGAGCCCCAGCTCCATCCCCAGCCAGGAAGGTGATCCACTGGGAGCCACAGACCTCCCCTGTCTCCCTGCTGCTCCCCTCAGCAGTGGATTTCAGTCAGTCCACCTGTTCTGTTCCCCTCGCTGGCTGTCTCTGGTGAATTCCCTTACCCCACCCCCGCATCTCTGCCCTGCACCCGAGCTCTAGTATTCATAAGTAAATAAATCTGCAAAAAAATAAAATAAAATGAAGCATAACACATCTCCGGACTTACACATCACGAGATATGGCCGGCAACGCCCTGGCCAAGGACCGATGTATTGACAAGGGACCCCAGAAGCTGATCAGTGGAACGCCTTGTCGATAAGATTAGAACAATGGCTGGGGATTAGGGTGTGTCATGAAGTAGCTAAGAAATGCCTGGAGGGCAGACTTACAATCCCTAATCTTCTACACCCTTCCCCTTTCAATCATCTCCATGCCTTTAATCTCCTTTTGCTCTTCCCCC